CATTTGATAAGTTATCATGGACTTTTTACAAGAGGTTCTTTTAAAATTTAGGTTTTCTGATGCTTTCACTAACCTGATTATGAACCATCTTAAGTCCACATATTTTTCTGTGCTTATCAATGGAACTCCTAAAGGTTTTTTCAAGCCAGCTAGAGGGGTCAAGCAAGAAGATCCTCTCTCTCCTTTCCTATTCATTCTAGCATCAGAAGCATTCTCAAGGGGACTGAATTACTTCATGTCATCACAAATAATTAAACCCTTCTGGATTGGTCAATTTGGACAGCCTACATCTCATCTTTGTTTTGCTGATGACATATTGATTTTTATCAATGGGGATACTAGATCTTTATTGAACTTTAAAAAGTTTTTAAATCTGTACCAAAGGGCTTCAGGACAGACAATCAACTTCTCTAAAAGCAATTTTTGTTGTGGGAATACTTATCTTGCTAGTGTGAGAAGAATGGAAAGAATCCTAGGCATGACCAAGGTGAATTTGCCTATGAAGTATCTGGGATCAGCCCTGCATAAAGGTATTAACAGAATCAGTTACTGTAAAGATATTATACATTCTTTTGATAAAAGATTGACTGCTTGGAAACAAAAGAATCTTAGTCAATGGGGAAGAATTGTTCTTATCAAACATGTGTTAAACACTATTCCTCTTCATATTTTATCAGTTCATACACTTCCTAAAACTGTCATTAAGATATTGGAGAGGAAAATGTCACATTTCTTTTGGGGCTCCAGCAATCAAAGAAGTAAATATCACTGGATAAAATGGAAGGATGTCTGCTTGCCTACTAAGGAAGGAGGGCTAGGCATCAGATTATTGACTGATATTGAAAAATCTTATTCTTTAAAGTTGTGGTGGAAATGGAAATGTAATAGATCCTCTTGGGCTTCTTTTTGTCACTACAGATACCCTAGAGGATCTAATATGATTCCTAAAAGTACTGATTCTGTTATTTGGAAAAGGATTTGCTCAATACATCAAACTGGAATCTCATTAACCTCAGAAGATAACAATGGGGAGTTGATTTGGTTACCTGAGAATAATGGTCACTTCACTCTTGCATCAGCCTTCCAAAGGATTAGATGGAGCAAATCTGAGACCTTCTCTTTCAGACATTCCTGGCATAAAAAGCAATGTAACAAAATTCAGCTCTTCCTTTGGAAAACTTTGCATAGAATTCTGCCATTTCCTGATAATCTATTAAGATTTCAAATAGTCATTTTCCCCACCATATGCCCCTTTTGCAGAAAGGATTATGATCTTATGGACCATGTGCTTTTCAACTGTTCATATGCCAAGGAGATTTGGCATTACTTCATGGGAATTTTTGAAATTCCATATCACAGGGGTTATCTTTCTATCCGTCAGGCTCTAATATCTTGGTGGCTGGAAGCCGGTTAAAAGAGCCTCTTAGACATCTTCAAAAATATTATGCCTTGGATTATTACTTGGCATATTTGGAAACTCTATACAAATTTCAAGTGGGGGAATCAGTCAGCCTTACCTTCTACTCAACTTGTTATTTGTCAAATTAAAAAATTTTCTCAGAATTGGTCCTTTGCAAAATTAGGTAAGAGCAAGCATGGTATCGCTAATGATATATTGGTGGAGGAAAAACTATTATCTAAATCTTTCATTTGTAGAAAGCCTCAGATTCAATTGGTTAGGTGGAAATTACCTGATATGAACTTCAAATTGAACGTCGATGCATCTTATTCCTCAGAGGGTTCGGCGGCAGGTGCTATTATGAGAGCGAGGTCAGGAGATTTCATTTTCGCTCTTCATTTTCATTTGACGGCAAGGTCGGCTTGGGAAGCCGAGTTCGGAGCTGTATACGAAGCAGTAGCATGGACTATTAAACAAGGTTACCGGAACTTTGAGGTTGAATCTGACTCCTCTTCCGTTATTGCTGAGATTGGTGATGGAACACTGCCTGGAGGTTGGAGAAACAAGACGATGGATCTGAGGAGGTGGATGGTTAGCAACGATGTCCGTTTCGGACATATCCTTAGGGAAGCAAACGGCCCAGCACATTTAATGTCCAGATATAAATTTGATGGTATCTATGTTATTAATAATATCAACACTCTTCCTAATTATATTAAGAGATCTTTGATTAAGTTAGGTCTCTCTATTGTTAGATTTAATTAATCTTTTTCATATGTATTTTTGGAGAGGTTTGGTTTGGTCCCCCTCTTCTTTGTATCATCTAATTTTTCAATAAAACACCGGTAAATGACTCCCGGCATTTACCCCACTGATTTTGGTGGTTTGCCTTCCGGGATAAAAAAAAACGCTATTTTAGAAAATGATTAGATCAATTAAATTAAAAGATTTAAAAACATAAAACATACTCCATATAAATTTCAGGAAAATATACAAATAATTCTTTTGTTACATATGATATCAATGTGTTTCTATTTATTTATAACTTTAATTTTTTTGTTTCTTATTGTTTATTCTTGTTTCTTGTTTATATCCTGTTTCTTCTTGTTTCTATTTGTTTCTTTGTCACATTATGTATTACATTGTTAATTAGATTGTGTTGTAGTTGCTCAAATAAAAGGAAATTGAAAAGTGACACCACACAACAAAAAACAACTACATACAAGAACTAGAAACAAAAAAAATAAAATGAAACAACATACAACAAAAAGAAACAACAAAAAGAAACAACATGCAACAAAAAGAAACAAAATAAATAAATATAATATGTACAAGTTTGTGATGATAAATACATCTTCAATATATGATAAGAAGTTCAGAACTATCATTACAATCTCATCGCATACAACGTTTTTATAAGCAGGGCAAACCAAAGCTTCTTACGTATTCAATATACGATCAGATCAGTACTTCAGAACTATCATTACATTTCTTCTACCATTTGCATACTTTTCCTATACCAAGATGTAGTAATTCCATTGATCACAAAACACACTTCAACCATTCGATTTTGCCTACCTCAACTTCTTTTCTTGCCTTCATCTTCATTATCATGCCTTGTACTGTCAAACTTGACCTCACTTTACCCCACTCTTCCTCTTACAAAATTCTAATCTCTCCCATCAGCATGCTCATCCTCACTATCCTCATTATCATCATCATCATGTGATTCAAGATGGAAAGAATTAAAGTGCATTATAAATGGCAAGCTGAGGAGATTGAGAGAATGAGTGAGACAACTGACCCGCTAACTTCGGTTTTTGACAAAGTTTCCTTACCAAGCTAAGTAATTTTTGCCCCCCCCCCCCCCCCCCCCCCTTTGAACTCATCGTCTAAATAAGATATATGGACCTCGCTGAAGTCATAGCATTATCCAGTAACGGTTAGATAACATGTAGCTAGAACAACACTTAAACGTGAACATAAATGCTTAAACTATAATTCCAAAAATAATTTTTACCAATCTGCTGCAAATCCTGATGAGAGTAAAGTTATTATTACAAATAGACTTTACTAGCTTGTCCAAATAGAACAATCCATTTGAATTGTTGCTACATGTTAACATGTTTCATGTTCCTTTCAAATAATCCTTGAAACTCAAGACAAACAGAATCATCTAGCCAATGCTTTTATAGCATATGCAATATTCAAGAGTGTACATAAGTTACACAAAGAAGTAACAATTTCTATAAAAGGATTTCGCAAATGCAAACAAAGAGATGGTCAGTGATTGATTTCAATTGGATAAACTTATTTCAAATTTAGAATAAACTAGCAAAATCAGGACTGAAAACAACTTGCAATAGACAGGAAGATGGGAGCTTTTTTACTTTTCCCCCGAAGTAATGTAATATTGACAATTGTCATAGTCATCCGAGGAGTTTAACAAAAAAAAGACACCCTAGAAATGCCATTTTCCTAACAATCTGGTGCATATAAGCAAATAAAGTCATTATTGCTATATCAGACTGAAGATTCTAACATATCCATTTCTAAGTCAAAAGGTAAAGAGGAGGTGACCATTGATCTATATGTTAACTGATCACAATTTACGGAAGCTCACGATAGGAGTTTCTGAATCTGATTTTGACCTGAGCACTGTGAATCTAAATTCAGCCCTGATTGAAACTCGCATAAAAACATCACCGGTACCCTGCCTGTTCACCCAACGGTTACCCCTCTCCACCCGTCGGCATGGCCTACAAATATCCACAGCCCAGCACGGCCTTCACATATCCACCATCCAGCAATTACCTCACCAACAATATCGATGTTTACGCGAACCCGCGTCGCATCTTCCTCTGACACGTACTGCTCGTGCTCGTGGTCTGCTTCGTCATTGTTATGGTCCCTGAGGTTTTCGATTCTGCCCAATCGGGGTTTTCATCTTGGATTACGGTGGCCTCATCTATATGAATCTCACAATCTCTAATTTCAGTTATATTCACGGTCGATTTTGCAGAGACGGAAGAGGTTTTGGTTAAGAGAAGATGAATAATCCGGCTAGAGGTTATGTATTAGGGGGCTTGGGCTAGTTTTGAAATAAATAAATAAAAGTGAAAACTTGAAAGTTTATAAATGAAATGGAAAAAGTCTTGCGACACAAATGAAATACCATACGCAAAAGAGGTTGATTTGGGTAATTTCCACTATAATCATAGTACTATCTCCACTTAATTCCATTTTGAGGCCCATAAAAAACTGGATAGTGGCGATGTAAACCGGTGTACGTAAGTAACTCAACTGGTAGCGAGAGAGTGCCGCACGGGTTAGGTTCCAAGTTCGAATCCCGACAACTGCGATGACAGTTAACTATGCTAAAATATGCATAGAGTCTTTGCAAGTACCGGAGACAGAGCCTTTGAGATTATAGTCCAATTTACATCTTTCCAACGTACCGTCTGATCGGAGTTGGGGCCGGATGGGTGTCGATCCTTTTTTAGTACGTGGCGGGTTGCAGAAGCAGCAAAAATACTAAAATGGTGCTGATATGTAGGATGTATCAGATCACGCCACGTGGGCTCGCGCATATAAACGGATGCAAACCTATTTATATTCCATTCTTTAATCTCGATTTCTGTTCCGCCCCCCCCTGTCTCGTCGTCCCATCCTCATTGTCCCTCGTCTTCTTCATCACTGTCATCGCTCCAACCTGCAAACCTTAACCTCGAATCTCCCAATTACGGTGTTGGATTTTTGAAAAATCGGGATTCATTTTCCCGATTTTCAGAGGATTTGAGGTGTCTAGATATGGCCACTTCGAATACCAGCAATGTTTACATCCACGTCATCGAAGACGTCATTAATAAGGTCCGAGACGAGTTCATCAACAATGGTGGTCCTGGGGAAAGCGTCCTCAATGAGCTCCAAGGAGTAATCTGTTTTTCTTATTTCACTTCTGTCTAATTTTTTTTTGTATATTCTATAATCGATTTCGCGTGGGCATATCGTATATGTATTTGGTGGTTTTTATTTTTGATTTTTTATTTTGAGTTGATTGAAATACTTACTCAGTACTCGGTCTATGTCGTATGGAATCATTGAACTTCGTTGTGCATCGATCTGAACATTTCTAGTGCTATATGCGTTTTATGTAGATCTATAGGCTTCGGGATAAATTTCATTTGATTTTAGTTGAAGTTCTTACTAATGTTTTGTATAGATATGGGAGATGAAAATGATTCAAGCTGAGGCTATATTAGGTCCGATTGAGAGGAACCCAGCTCAAAAAACGGCACCTGGTGGTGGAATTGCCCCTGTGCATGACCTTAACGTACCTTACGAAGGCAATGAGGAGTATGAAACTCCCACTGCTGATTTACTTTTTCCTCCTGTAAGCTGTTTTGTCTTTGGATTTATAGATGTGGAATTCTGATGTTTCTGGTTTGGAAATTGAGCATTTGTTTTTTTGCATTTATGAATTTGTAGACACCAATGCCAGGAACAGCTCAAACACCGCTACCTGGAACAGCGCACACTCCCACTGTTGATTTGCTCTTTCCTCCGGTTAGTTTTTATCATTATGTTCCCTTTTATCACAATGCAACTCTTTTTTTGATGAATTTAAACTGTGCTTGTTTTTCTTTATTGCAGACTCCTTTACCGACCCCAGCCCCTACACCCTTACCAGGAACAGCTCAAACCCCGTTGCCTGGAACTGCTCAGACACCAATGGGAACAACAGATAACGCTATGTTTAACATTCCTACTGGAGGAACTCCAATCACACCCAATGATTACTCTTCTACAAATGAGAATGATGTCATTGATGTTAAACCTGCTCAGGGGAGGCCTAGTCCTTTCATGGTAGACACAGTAATCTGTTCAGTGTGTCCATTCTAATAGTTATCTAATAAGTTTGTTTGATAAGTCTTCGTATGGGATGCAATGTTAAACATTATGGTTTCTTTTGTTAAGAAAAATAAAAGTATATGGCTATACCTTGCTGGAGTTTCGATTAAAATTTAAGGTCATAGATTAGTCATCAACTCAGACATATTTTTAGTTTGGAAACAAATATTTTGAACTATTTGATACGGAGTATATTTATTACTGTATCGGTGTATACGGATGATGTTACATAGAGATCCTTTGGGCATATACTCTCTCTCTATCCCATTTTTATGTGTCCTACTTTCATGTTTAGTCTGTCCTGGAATAATGTGTACATCATAATATGAACACCACTAATTTTTTTCTTATCCTAATTCATCTCTCTCCCTCTCTGTTTTAAAAATGGTTTGGCAAAATTGATCTCAATGGTAAATGAAACCACTCCGTATATTCTACTGTACTTGTTTCTATTTAAAATGATGTGACAAGTGAACTGATCTTATATTTTGGGAGAGAGGAAGTGATCTTTATAAATTTAGTTAGGTTTGGCAATATGCATTGTAGGAAAAATAGAGGGAAGTCCGTATTATTTAAGTAACTTCGCGTGTTCCCTCCATTGCATGTATTTTATCTAACCTTATCGAAATTCTGCTCCCCATTTTTTACTTCTCTGTTCTATTATCTCTAAAAAACATGGGGGATTGGTATATTTATCTGTGCAGCAACCACCCTCAACTTGGATGAACCAAAGACCTCCCCTTGATGTTAATGTTGGTAAGTAATCTAATTAGAAACCTAGCATATAAAATATTTTATTCTTATACCTTTTACATCTTGAAGTTAATGTCATCAACTTGTTAGACATGGATGATTCCTTATAATAAAATATTTTAACTCTTTTTTCTCTTTGCAGCTTATGTAGAAGGACGTGAAGAGGGTGAACGAGTAACATCCCAGCAACCCTTGACACAGGTGAGATTTCAGACCTGTGTGACTTGATTGTGATTCTTTCATATGATAGTAAATGATGTTTTACGATCTTTATTCTTTTGTTTAAAAGGCTCACTTATTTATAGTTCTCACAACTTTTATTTGTGAGGTTGTCCGAACTGGTGTCTTATGCAAACACCGGTGACTTTACTTAATAAAAAAGTAAAGACACATGATGAGTGCGTATGGTAAGTAAGATTTGAATTATTAGAGTTGAGTGTTGTTTAGATGCTTGTAGAATTGAATGAATTTAAAAATCTCTCAGCTTATATTAGCAAATACTCCCTCCATCATTCATTTTCATTTTCATTTACCCCAGTACCGCAAAGGCTCCCACCTACGGTGGGGTAAGGGGGAGTCGGATGTACGCAGTCTTACCCCTGTACTAAAGCACAGAGAAGCAAATACTCCCTCTGCCCCATAAAATTGTACCCATTTAGATTTGGATCGGAATTTAAGAAAGTGGGAATAAAGTGGAAATGTATGGTTGTGGTTGAGTAAGAAAAATGTAAATGAATGATAGCCACACAAAATTTTCCAAAAAGGGAAATGGGAACTATTTTTTGGGACGTCCCAAAAAGGAAAATGGGTACAATTTTATGGGACGGAGGGAGTATACACATAATTCCTAGTACCATTGCAAGGACCAAGACGATTAAAAGTGAGTTTTCCAGGAATTTAATAAAGTTGCATAATTTTTGTGCATATGTAGAGCAGCAAAGAGGATCTTTTCACAATATAAAGAAGTTGACTATACTTCATTACTTCTATGTCACGTTAGTCTCATTTCAAACACCAAACCTTCAAGTCACACTTGCATCTCGATGCAAACGGAAACGTAAGCAATGGTACACACTTCGACTTGCAAATTAAAAGTGATAGAAATTGTAAAATTCGGGCACTTCCTCCCAATCATGACCTGGTGTGCTTTTTCAATTTTATTGCAAAATCTTGTTAGACCTTTCCCTTGATAGCTTAGTTTTCATTGTGAACAAAAGTTTGCTAGACTTGCTCTTCAGTAGTCCAAACACTGGATTCACAGTTTCACACAGGATAAACAGACCTTATTTACTTATCCAGTGAATTTGAATGATTAAAAATAAAGTACAAGACCTCTAAGGTTCCTGTGTTTCAGAACTAAACCTAGAAACTAAGAATCAGGGAAATTAGTGAGATTTGGTTTGGCCTTTAGAAACAAATAGTTCGAAGATGATATGTGTTAAAGTATTTGCCCCACATTATAAAATAATAGAACACTATACTAGATTTGGGTTACTCCTCTTATCAGGCTAACTTCATGAAACTCCGAGTCTTAACATGGTATCAAAGTCAAATCCAATTGTGATTTGATTGATTGTTACCATCTATGATTAAGGGTAGCTCGACAGTTTGGTCTATGTATACACACCCCCATTGTTATTTAGCCCGATTTGGATTGAGAGACGTGTTGAAATATTTGTCATGCATGATGCATCAGATTAGTACTACGTATAAAATAATAAAATACTACATACTATCTTGGGCTATTCCTCTTTAGGACGGAACCTTGAGTTTTAATAATATGTTTTCAGATTATGTTTCTCATTTTGAGAAGATTGTGGTTCCAAAATAGTCTTTTGGTGATTTTAAGATAACTACTCCCTTGGCCCCTAGATTAGGTTCCTATTTTCGTTTGTCATGCTTATTAAGAAAGAGTCATTGTGTGGTTGTGATTTTGTAGAATAGGGAAGAATATGAACCACACATTTCTTTCCCTCGGAACACATTTTTTTTTGTCCCACACTATTTTTGGCCACATAGTGCCTCACAATAATCCATAATTATAAATGTTCAATACCAATCAGGCTATCACTTATTTCCAACTTTAATTTACATGTCACATCCCTTGTCCTAAGCATAACAGAACGGAGAGATTATAAAGTTTGCCATAAGGACTCTAGAGTCTAAACCTAGGGAGTGGCTAAATTAGCCAAATCTAACCATAACTCGATAGAAAGCCTCTATTGTTATATATAACCAAATGTGGAACTAAGGAAAGTATGCTGAAAACTAAAGATAGTTTATTGGGTCAAATATCTCTTGGAACATGCATAATATCTCAAATGATTTTGGATTTGATTGAACCTTGTGGAACTTGAATAAGATATGTTGGGCCTGTGGTTTCACTTGCATTCCTTAAATGTACCTCAATGCTGGACTTCAGATGCAGGATTTTTTCATGGTGTCGTCTGGAAAGCGAAAAAGGGATTTTGCTTCACAGTATCAGGCTGGTGGTTACATACCACAGCAAGATGGTTCTGCAGATGCATTGTATTACGATCCAAAGGTGAGACGTATCTTGCGTTCTCATAAGTCTGAATAATTTGGACCTCTGCTTTAGAACTTCAATGGACGTAACGTCTTATTTGCACATAAGAGCCATTGGAACTGCAAGAAAATCTATGTGTTATTTATAAGAGGTGAAGTCATGATTATATGACATGAGTATTGACTTACTGTTTTTACTGCACCTAAACTGCTGGTTCCACGGTGGGGTGATTAAACTTGTATGGCATTGCGGGATTCAATTAGTTTGAGACCTCTTATTGAGTCACACACGTATGTCATTAAACTACAAAGTTATTCTCCATTAATTGTGTGGACACTGTGTGTTGTGTTGAGGTGCAAATGTCTTCATTGTTGATTTTAGCCTTTGCAGCAGTCTTTGGCTGTTAACTACTACCTCTGTCCCACTAACATTGGGACATGAGGATGTGGCACGGTTATTAAAAGAGTGGGTTTATGTGGTTGATTTTGAATTGATAAAGTAAGAATAAAGTAAAAATGATTTAGAACTACACAAATTTTACCAAATTGGTATGGGACCATCTTAATGGGACAGACCGAAAATGAAAGATGGGACAATCTTAGTGGGACAGAGAGAGTATAAGATATTTTGTTTTGCCTCGGTGTACCAACTTTTAGTTTGATTCGCATGATACATAGCCCACTCGATGGATTTAATTTTTTTGGTCTATAGGCCTATCTATGGGGACATTTTAGGATCTAGTTTGGACAAAGAACTGTCATATATATTGTGGGTACAGGTATAGATTTAGCATCCTTTTACTCAACCTGGATTTGAATCAATCTTGAATCTTCCATTCCAGACCCGACCAGGTGTGAAGCAGATATTAGTAAATAATAGGTATAAAAAATAAATTTTGCTATCGAAATATACAAGTATTTTACACTTGAAAGTGTTGAATTTCCAAGTTGGGTATTGAATAGTTACGTTATACGGAGTAATAGCTATGTATAAGAATGATTGTTTCATTAACAGATTAACACTTGTATGTAGTGCTTTAAGTTTTTTAGAACGATTATAATTGATAGGGAAATAAATACTTTTTGTTAAGTTGTTGTGGTGGTAAATTGGTAGTGTGTAATAATGTTAATAACATGAAAAATCTTATTTACGTATATACTGTGTGTGTCAATATAAATGAAGTATGACTTTGGATCAAAACACACAAGTAAAAATTTAGGGATAATAAGACCCCAATAAACCTGGACCTATGGGTCCTGGTCAGGATCTAGGAACACAAAATGTAGACCCTCTGGATCTTGGGTATGGGTCTCGACCTTTTTTTTTTGAATGGCTATTGCTCTAGAATTGTCAATTCTGATCCAAACCTGACCACCCTTAGACAACTTAGTCCATAAATGTCTGAACTTATAAGTAACTATTTTCTATTCTATTCAGGAGTTTTGTGAAGCGAATTGTGTTTTAAGCCCCTGCTTTTGATCTATAGTAGAGGTTATGTTTCCCTCTATCTACAAAAAGAAAACTCTCTCTGTCGCACTCTTTGTCCCATCTTTAGTTGATACTTCTTGTTAACTTTTTGTTGTAATGGTAAATTGGTAGTGTGTAAAAAATGATGATAACATGCAAAAATTTATTTATGTATTGTGTTTCAATCTAAATGAAGTATGACTTTGGATTAAAACATGAACTGAAAAAGTCCGGGATCTTTAGACCCAGATTCAGACCTGATTAAATCCGGACCTGCGGGTCCAAATCTGGATCTAGGAACACAAAATGTAGACTCAGTGGATCTTGGGTACGGGTCTCAGCATGTTTTTTGAATGGATATGGATCTAGATTTGTCATTTCTGTCCCAAACCTGTGAATGGATATCGGTCTAGACTTGTCAATTTTGTCCCAAACCTGATCCCTGGACAGGTCAGTCCATAAATGCTAAAGAGTTATGTGAAGCGAATTGTATATTAGGCCCCTGCTGTTAATCTATTTTGGAGGTTATGTATTCCCTCTGTCTAAAAATTAAAGCTCCCTATGAGTTTGTGCCACAGTATATGGTAGCGTTTGTGTGGTTTGACTTCATTCATAATATACAAAGTCAAACAAACCACATAATTCGACTTTCCTTAATTTGTATGCCACGTCTTCATGTCTCAATGATAGTGAGACGAAGTTGTAATCATCATTATCAGCACCATAGTTCTCAACTAGTCAGGGTGGTTGTGGTCAGTGGTATTAAATTTGTAGTGATAATTAATTGTTTGAAGTTATTCAACACTATAAAGTAATGCAAAATTGTTTGAAAATCTTTTTTTGTCCCAAAAATGAGTCTCATTTGATCTAGCTTAGCGAATATTTCAGGTAATTTTCCAAAAAAGATCTAAGTTAAGCATCATAAATTTAGCCAAACCAACAAACAAGTTTTAAACGTATAAAGTCCATGAAGTAAAAGAGTTGTACTTTACCAAAAGAGAGTTGTACGCCAAACGTGCCATTTCTTTAGGATAGAGGGATCACTTCACAATGGTCCGGTTTGTATCTTGTTTTTTATTTGTCCGAGATAATGTATTGAATTGCCAAACTGTCCTTTTCAGAGTGGTCCATATAGCAGTACACAACAGCAATCTGTTACTGCTGGCGAGGAGATGGTGATAGAAGGCTCAAGATCTTCAAGAATCCCTCAGCTGGATGGTCCAATTCCCGATCCTTATGATGAAATGCTTGCAACACCTAATGTATGTTTATGGGTTTTATCAAATGTCATCAGATAATGTTTGGAATCAATGGAACTCAAGCATGCATTGTATTGATTAAAATGTACTTCATACAACAACATCCAAGCCTTACTTCCAAAAGATATTCGGCCGGCTAACATGAATCGACACAGGATATTGGACACAAAAAGAAAAAAAAAGATAATAAAGATAAAGATGTTAAAAAGAAGATAAAAGAGATCTATCCTCCACATAAAACGATGAAAAGAGATCTATCCTCCACATGAATATTCATCCTCCATCTTGCTCTCTCCAAAGTCACGTTCTCATTAGTCATCCAACCCAAGAAGAAGCATATCATTCTAGACTCCTCTAACCACGTCTTTTTGGGCTTGCGCTCTTTTTCCTATCTCTTGCCCACTCCTCTCAATTCATCATTCGGTCTTCTATGCACATGACCAAATCATCGTTATCGAGACTCCCGCATTTTATCTTCTGAAATGTACTTCATACTAGACTTTCTGTAGTGGTTTATAATTTGTATGATAAAATGTTTAAAATCAATGGAAACCTGAAGTGCATTTTATTACTTGGAATATTTGGTTGTGAATCAAAGTTGTTCATTCATAATGTTTTGATTTTCATGTGCAATTTTCAGTTTCCAGCTTTGTGTTAGGCATTTCTAGTTTTCTACACATATTCTTTTCCTTTATCTGCCAGTTTCCTCCCTAATTTTAATAGCACACTATTAGAATATTGATGGATTTAACTTCTTGTTTGCCTGGCAAATTTTTTGTGGTTGCTTCGTTTTATACTAAAGATCTATAATTATCAAGGAGGGGTTGAAGACTACAATATTGCTAATACACCGGGACCAGGTATAATGCAAGATACAATGTCTGTGAATAGTTTATATCATGAGGTTGGAATGTTGTTCTCCCATTAAATTGGAGCTTTGTCTTTTAGACATGCAGGCACCTACTCCTGCTCTGGCCCTTCAAAACGATCTTCTAGACGACGACGATGAGGACCCTTTGAATGAAAATGATGATGACGATTTGGACGATGTGGACCAAGGAGAGGATCTCAACACAACTCATCTAGTTTTGGCTCAGTTTGACAAGGTGGTTAACTTTTCCTTTCCTTTCTTCAAGAAAAATGATTTTTGTTGGGCAAGTATGATGAATTGTTTTTATGGTAAATTACGTATTTTAGTCCCTCATTGTTAACTTTTGAAAAAACCATCATCATTGGATCGGATGATTGGATGTATACTATATTACTATATGTAGTATCCGAAACTGAAATTGCTACGGTTGGGTGACTAAACCGTCACCAACTCACCAAGGTGTATAAAGAGGGTGACTTTTGCAAACGTTAACACAATGACTAATGACTACATCTACATACGTGGTGACTGCCTGAAGGACTAAAAAAGTAATATACTCTAGGACTACAAAAGCAATTTACCCTGGTTTTTGTTGCACCTCCAAGACTACCAAAGCAATTTGCATTTGTTTTGGTTGCACCTGCTTTTGTCATAACTTCATTAATATGACCTCTTTCCTAGTAAAAGAGCTATGTATATGACCAAACTATGCACACTTTATGGATTTGGCCCAATTAGGTGTAAACATAATAAATCATTAAGCATGTTCACATTTTTATCAATATATTTGCTACGTTAACTAAAGTTGTCTTTTGAGTCCTTTTTGGCAAATTATATGTAAATCAATTTCATTAGATCAAAACTGGGTGGGACTTAACATTGTCAAAGCAATGTCTTAATATTGTCAAAGCAAGATAAAAGGGTTGTATTGTGCATGAACATTGGGATGCTGCCTTATTTATTAACATTATATAGTTATGAGAATGATACAATTACTCATGTTTTATAAGGTGACACGCACGAAGAGCAGATGGAAGTGTACTCTCAAGGATGGTATAATGCATATTAATAATAAAGATATACTCTTTAATAAGGTAAAAAGCATCAATAATTTGTTCCGTCATGCACCCGACCCAGAATGATATGTTTACTAAAAAAGCTCGTTTTCAGGCAACGGGAGAGTTTGACTTTTGATTGTGTTGTGAAAGAAAGCTTTCTTGCGAAATGAGCACCGAGCTTAATGTTGAAAGAATGTTTATTAGGTGTCATTGTAACTGCTCGATTTATTCGAGTAGAAGACTGTCGAGCGGAAAGCAAGAATGCTTATTAGGTACTATTATTATTGTAATTGCTCGATTTTATCAAGTAGAAGACCGTCGAGTGGGCATCAGTTTGTCTCTGATTAGTTGATGTACATAAAGGAAGAGGGTTTTTTGCCATCATTTACTCGTCACTCGACAATATGAGTATATTGTGTATCTCTACAATTCCGTAGACTGTATGTGTTTCATTTTTGTTGTTTATGTAAAGTGAATTATGTCCCCTACCCCAATTTCTCATGAGATTTATTTATTGATTTATTTATGTGGTAAACAATGGTTTATTGATTTAATCACTCATTTGCACATGCAATTTGACTAGTTTTGGTTGTCGAAACCTTAACTAGTTGATACGGAGTACTCCATTTCCACAACAAAACTACCAATTCAATTTGGGGACAGAAAGATTACGGAGTATTGTAATAATAAGAGCCCATTTGGCAGCATGAAAATCGGCTGTTCTGATTGATTCTGCTGAAATTTATGAATTTCTGGTTGAAGTTGCTGCATTGGCTGATTCTGCTGATACAAGAAAAAAATATTTTTAAAATATATTTTATTAATAAAATAAAGAAAAAATTATATGTAAAAATAGCTAAAATGGTCATCTACAGTAACTTCAGCTAGAAAAGTAACTTCAACCTTACTTTTTCGGCTTATTACACAATTCAACGCTCGAAAGCAAAATTTACGTGTTTGGTAAAAAAGTTGGCTGATAAACCTGATAAGCGGAATATGATGGTTGCCAAACGGCCTCTAAATGTTTGGTCTGCTAGACTGCCAGTGCCATTTCTTAGAGACTCAATATCGGCTTGAATAACTTTTTCCCCGCGATTAAAGGCAAAATTATTACTTGTTTTAATATTTTTTTAAAGTGACTCACCATATCATTCATGAATTTTATTTAGTATTACATTTATTATTATGATGTTCCTTTTTTATAATTCATAATTAATCAATAATTAATCAATGTTGACTAGCCATCCCCAACAATAGCTATTACCATCACTAATGAATACTCCCTTCGTCCCACTACAAATGTCTCATTTTTCTTTTTCGATTCATCCCGTTAAATTTATCCCATATCATATTTGGTAATTAATATTTGTGAGATTGTGATTCATTCTTAATTTATTCATACTTTATCAATTCATTATTAATTGCATAACACAACTTTTCTTAAAAACTGCATCACTCTCTTTTGTTCTAATCTTAGGGGTGGAGGTAATAATTGTTATAGTCTCATAACCGACTAGCTGTAATCATTGGAGCCCCATCACTCCAAAAATCCATCATAAACCTCATGAATGACCATGTACATCAGCATATGAAACTAATATGGTAGTAATTGGACCACATTAACCGTAATAGATCACATCCACTACAAGCCTTAGTAACTGCCTCCATCACAATCCCTGGTCACTAATGGGTACATTATCTCCACCATAAATTCTAGCCGCCCCCACGACGTCACTGAAGCCCTAGCCATCGCCAGTGGAGTCACTAAAACCCTAGTTGCTGCCAAGGAAGTCATTGAAACCGTAGATGCCACTAACGAAGTTATTGAAACCCTAGCTACCGCCCACGCCGCCCTCGACGTCATAAAAAACCTAGCCGCCACCCATGATGTCACGGACCTAGCCCCCGCTACCTACCATCAACAAGAACGCAGAAGAAGGTGAGGGAGAGGAAGGTGTTTCTCGTCGTCGCCGGCTTGTCACAAGGGGAGGGGGGTCATGACAGTGTAAACCCAATGGCGGCCATGGCTGGAAGTTGACGCCGTCTCTAGTCATCGTCAAGTTGTCTTTATGGTTCATTGAAGAAGATGATTATGGTGCTAGATGAAGTGGTCGTCGATATAACCGTAGAGCATGAGATTTAGGTGTTCATCGTCGAGGAAAGTCACTATTGGCAAGCCCTAATCATACTTCCATATATATTAGGGGTTATTAAATACTACTCCCTCCGTCCCCTTTTAAATGTCCCATTTTACTATATTGGGATGTCCCTATTTAATTGTCCATACCTTATTTGGTAAAGTTTGTGTGGCTCAAAATCATTCTTACGTTATTCTTACTTTATCTATTAATATCAACCACACAAACCTACTTTTCTTAAAACTCGTGTCACCCTCTTTCGGGACATTTAAAAGGGAACGGAGGGAGTATTTATTATTAAGGGATAATTTGAGTTTGCACCCCATATTATTGTCTAAATTGAACTTTGCACCCCATTTTTAAAAATCTTTATTTTTGCACCCCAACCCCATATGAAAAGACTAAAATGCCCCTCCATTAACAATTCTGTTGACTTTCAACATATTTCTGATTGAGAGCATTTTTATCTTTTCATATGGGGATGTGTGAAAAAACAAAGATTTTTAAAAACGTGGTGCAAAGTTCAATTTAGACAATAATATGGGGTGCAAACTCAAATTACCCCTATTATTAAAAGTGATCTTTATCAAATAAAAAAGGTAGTCATATTTTTTGAAATGAAAAAACTAATGATAATATATGTGTCATTTCCCCCGATTTAAATAATTCAATCATACATTTTAGTATTTGTGAGTTTCATGACTGGTCTGTTTTTCATTTTTATACGGAGTATTTTGTAAATCATACTCTGTATAATATATACGTAGTAGTTATTAATAATATGACATGTATATTAGCAAGTACGTTTTAACATATTGTTATACTATATATGTGTAATACTCCATCTGGTCCTAAATAAACTTCACACTTTGACTTCACACAAATTAAGGAAATAAATTTGACTTTACTGTAGAGTACATTGTTGTGACACTGTTTGACACTGTTTTACACTGTTTTGATGTAGATAATTTGCCAAATAAGGAAGGGAGAAGAAGTGTGAAATTTATTTTGGACGTACCCAAAAAGGAAAGTGTGAAGTTTATTTAGGACCGGAGGGAGTATATTAATTGTAATACTATATATTGCGTATTTTACAATATAAATACAACAGTGTCATAATATAATACTCCGTAGTTATTATACTCCCTTTGTGTTGCAGTAACAGTCTCGATTGATGAACTTATTAAGGAAACATTTCCTTTTTATCCGTCTAGTTTATAATTATAACTTGCTCCTACAGTGGGGGTGAGGGAGGGTGACTGTACGTACGTTTAAAGAAGAAAATTATTTTATTTGAAGACAATAATTACAACTTTAAGAAAGTTAAAGTTGTAATTACTTTATAACAATCGAATTACAATGATTACAACTTTAAGAAAGTTAAGACACTCCAAATTAAAAACCAAGTGCAAAGATATATAAGAGAAAATTTACTTACTCTTCCTTCAAAAATAGAAATCTACACTACACATACATACATTCCTTACTTTACTTTCATCAACAGTACACTTCATTGCACCTCACCTTTGTGCCAATGATTTCGAATAATTACAAGTGGAAGATCATGTAGTGCCGCAAATTGTCTAATGCACATGAAGATCATATGATTGTAAGGTAAGAGAAGTAACAATCTAAATAGTGTAGAAAAATAAATAATCATACATAAACTTATATAGACATAAAAAGACTGTATTATATTTAGTTCAGATGATAGGGTTCAAATAGGCTTAATCGCCTAACTTGGTGCGGAGCTCAATGTAACTACTAGACTAGTGAATAAATTTGGAGGAAAACAATGAAGCAAATCTAGTCAAGACTACCTATTGATGTACACACTCAAATGTCAAGTAAAGTTAGAAGAAAAACATACACTTGAATGAAACATAATATAGAAAAGAACTATCACTGGATCACTTGGTATGACCTTGGGTATGTCCAAGAACACAATACATAAACTTGTGAAAACAAGTATGGTTAGAAGATCCTGTAATGCAAGCAATTACACCATTATTGTCTCAGGGTCGTATTTAATTACACCATGAATTAACAAACTTTTTCGTGACAATTCCGTGATAAAGCCCGTGATAACTTTGGATGTTTTTTACTTGGACTGTAATTTGCTTGTCTGGTCTGGTCTGATCTGGTGTGGTCTGGTCTGGTCTGAACTGGTCTGGTCTGGTCTGGTCTGGTTTCTTTGTATTTTTATAACTATCCAAGTCTGGTCTGGTCTGGTCTGATCTGGTCTGGTCTGGGACGAATTACAGTCCAAGTAAAAACATCCTTTGTCACGGCCCGAATCCGTGACAAAAATCCGTGACAAACGGGCTGTTTTTTGTAGTGGAAGATGGTTTTATGTCTATATAAACCGTAACCAAATCCACTCCAACTAATCCGACTTGTAAGGATGATTTTTTCTAATGTAACTCATATTTGATGGAAAATATTTTTCCTTGAAAAATAGAACACAAAGATTTTATGTATTGCATAGGTAGCCAATGTTGAAATGGAATAAAGCAAAATGGCTCACTAAACTGTTTGCGCTTCTTTGTCATGAAGCAGCAGTCAGTCCATGCAATTTAGGACGGGATTTTCACTATGGGTCATCCGGAAACAGTCTCTCTGTGCTTTAGTACAGAGGTAAGACTGCGTACATCCGACCCCCCCTTACCCCACCGTAGGTGGGAGCCTTTGCGGCACTGGGGTAAATGAAAATGAAAATGGATAGGTAGCCAATGTTGAAAAGGTGTGTGCATGAAGTTGACTATAAAACAGGGCTCTAAGTTCTTTGTAACAAACCCAAATCTGAAAAAGAAAACTAGAGAACAACCCGCACGGGTAGCTCAGTTGGTCGAGTGGTGGGAGATTTGGAACAATGGATCAAGGTTCGAATCCCCGCAGCGACCGGGTGGAGATCACAGAACCTGAAATAAGGCTGGGTCTCTGATGCGCACGGGTGTATGGGCCTACTGTCATTCTGCTGACTGAATCACCGTGACTAACCTCTCCACCATCCTGTCGGATCGGGATGGGGTTCCTGGGGTGGGAGATTCCACATTTTTTGGAACAAAGAAAACTAGAGAGCATTTGAGTGAGTAGTGGTTTATACTACTCCCTCCGTCCCGAATTGAATTGAAAACTTTGACCGGCACAAGTAATAAGGAATGACAATAAATGATGCTTGCTTTTTACACTTTTGCCCATCTTTCTAAAAGTAGATGTCTTTAAGTTAATGGGGAAAAAGTAAAAGTAAGGATAAATTTGTCAATTTATTCTTATTCACATACCTAAAATAGAAAGTGGAAAATCATTTTGGGACAACCAAAAAAGGAAATTTTGCAAATCAAATTGGGACGGAGGGAGTAGTATTTTGTTAGTAATAGACAGTGAGGGTTGTTCCATCTAATTTGATGTGACTATGTGA